GACGCAAAGTTGGACATCATCTCAACTTTGACTTGGGCTCAAGTCGTGGAGGTTTTCTCGGTTGAATACGGGAGGCGACTAGCAGTCAGAAAGAGCAATGTCTGGACTACACCGGTGCAAGGGGAGAGCCATCCAGCTCTATTGCATGAAGTACGGCTCGAACTTTTTTTGACGGGGTGTGCTGCACCAGCACGTTGAAGACGGACTGTGCCGATGGATTTTGCCCTCTGCTTGACGATTCGCTTCAGATCTCGTAGCTGCCTTGCGTACGGATTGACCGAGGAGGCAGCTTCTTCATCCAGTAGTTTCCCGACCCACCGCTATCTAGAGCTGAGTTTACAGGTACTCCCGAACCTCACTTCGTCATTCGAACCGTAGGCTCCCGCTCTGAAGAGCTAGCGTCGTGGAAGATTGTCTGATGACTGTAGACATTGTCCTTGTGCAGCTCCATTATTTCGGCGTCGACAGCTGCCATGCTGGCGCCAGGGTGGTAGAAGAAATAGTTTAAGGAAGCGCTTGAAGGGGTCGGTGCTGAAGGTAGCGGATAACATTCTTGTCCATAATGCAGAATAAGGATGAGCAGGAGCCGAGCCAGTGACACTAATAGAAAGATCAATCCTTAATGTATAAATGCTCACATTACCGGTTAGCCCTCTTCAGGTAATAGGCGAATACTTGGGTTCAAAAAAGTATGACAGAACTTTCCCGCCAACCTAATACATAGTTAACTAACAGTATCGATTGGTTAGAATATATTCGTATGTGTACGGCTAATTGGTACTTCTACTAAAATTCTGTAATTTTCCTCCCATTCACACACATGAACACGACTTGAAATGTGCTTTTCTAGTCGACTTTCCTGTGGCCATTGTTCCCCAGTGCTGTAGCAATATTATATTTCTCTGATGCCATGATATTCTTCCCCTTTTTTCTTCTTTTTTCTTTCTTCTTCTTTTTTTCCTTTTTTTTCTTATTTTTGACTCCTTTCTATTTCGTCCTTTTGCGTTCCATTCTCTGCACGTCCGCTAAATGCTTGCCACCTGTCTGCCCATAACGGTGGCATTTGCGATTCCCAGTTTCCTGCGACACTCTTGTAATTCTACCGTAATAAGCGAATCCATTCTCATAGGTATAAGGCTGCGTTCATACCTTGCGGCAGCGTCTACCAGCGTCCACCACCGAACTGTAGCGCTCCGGGCTTCCAGCAGCATTAGCGACGAGGAAATTTCGGTATCGATCTGGCGTCTGTCAGCGTCTAATAGCGCCTGCCTGCGTCTCGAGGGCTGGAGAAGTATATATCCGATCTAGCTTCTGCAAACGTATACCAGCGTCCACCAGCATTCACCAGCGACCGGGAGTAGAGAGTATGGGGAAGTAGGAGGGTAGCAAACAGCTGGATTAGGCGTCGTGAAATTGCGGCGTGTGCAACCGCACCGCACAACTGCTAAAACAGAATTATGCAATTTAATGTACGGTGTAGTGCAGTTGTGCGGTGCGGTTACACTCGCTGCAATCGCACCACGCCTAATCCAGCTGCTTCTTAACCTACTAATTTCCCATACTCTCTACTCACGGTCGCTGGTGAAGCTGGTGAACGTTGGTAGACGCTGGCAGATATATACCTATAGTTCCCCAGCCCTCGAGATGCTGGCAGACGCTAGATCGATATATATGATTTCCTGACGTTGATGCTGCCGGGCGCTTGGAACGCTAGTGGTCGCTGGTGGACTCAGTTAGTGGACGCTCCCGCAAAGTATGAACGCAAGTATAACGCTCGAAGTATAACGCTTACTTCAGAATTACTTCATGATTCCAATAGTGTGTTGCTTGTCAAATAGGTTGTTTTTTTTTGGTATTTTTGCTCGATGAAAGCTCCACTCATTGCAGGCACATGAGGCGTTTCTGAACTACAGGCATTCAATTGATAAAAGTGAAGCAGATGCTGACACGTGGTGTAGTATAGGAGTGCTTTATCATCAGCAAAATCAGCCAATGGATGCTTTACAGGTAGATTTCATCACTTTAGTTGATGAGCAAAGGTCATTCTCACTTTCAAGTTTTGTAGGCATTCATCTGCGCAGTTGAACTAGATCCTGAACACAGTGCAGCATGGACAAATCTGGGAGTTTTATATGAAGTTCATGCGCAATTCAATGACGCACTTGCTTGCTTTCGAAATGCCATCAAGTTCAATCCAGGTACTTCCTGGCACCGCCCTTTCGTATTTGTGCCATTGTTAATCTGTATTTATTAGGGTGTCAAGCGTACGATAACTTCATTACTCTCAATTGCGAGAGTTATTAATTACCTCTATCCGATTTTGAGAGCATATTTAAGTCCTCTTTAGTAGTATAGCTCATCCAACCAGAATAGTCTCTCGAATTTCCTAGCGGCTTCTCATCAAGTAATGAAGGCTCTGTGGCCCTTACAAGTGGCATTCCTGACGCCTCCGCTAGTTGTCCCGCTCACCGAAACTCAAGGGCAACTTCTGTCCCGAGTTCAGTATTTACCCCGTGTTTTTCGTTTTTTTCCCCACTATTTGATAGTTTCTAGCATTGAATGACGCGAGGAAACAATTAGCGAGCCAGAGGCTGCAGGTTATCGCCTTGACTGGCATAAAATTAACAGGTCCGGGAAACTCGTCTAGAGGAGCTGACAGGTCCTTACATAGGGTGTTCTCCATGATTTTTTTTGCTTCTCCCCATGTAACACACTTAGCGACTAAAGGTTTGTAACCGGACCTTACTTTAAACAGTATGCAATCGCAGGGTTTTCTTTAAAAGCCAGGTTCCACACGAACCAGCCACTCCTTCCATCCCTCGATCAATTTGGAACGAACCCGTATTGTAAAAGGGACCACATCTTACATTTCCACGGGTAAGGAGTAATCCAGGCGTGCTTCATGAGCCCTGATCAAGGGAGGGTATTTGTTGCATTTGGTGAAGGTGTGAATTCTGATTTCAGGTTCTTTTGTCCATGCAAGCAGATGTTTGTTTGGGGTTTGGATACGCACGAATCTGTTTGAGACGTATTATTTAGTCATCTACGTACTTACGAGTTCATGCTATTAACTGATATTTATTTATTTATTTATTTATTATTCTTGCTATTCTTGCTATATTGCTAATAATTTTTTATTATTTTGTAGTCCTCCTTACATCCGGGTCTTCTGCAGCTTTCCGTCCGTTCCATCAAACTTAGCAATGACACTTTTGTACTGTTTGATGCCTAGCGAGCCTACTTTTGCGATACTCCCACGTCCCCGCGGCCAAGTACGATCCCCTTTCTGGGATTTCGCATGAAAAGAGGGCTGTTAAACGGAGCAGTTAAATCTGTAAAGAATACACTCATAATAATTTTTTTTAACATCTTGACTTCCATAGCTCCACTCCCACTATCAACTGAAATGTCAAAGCATTGCCCGGCTCTGAGTGACCCTTGAGATTACGACCCCCCCCCTCCCCAGCGGCCAAGTACGACCCCCTATGGGTTTCGCACAACGATGCTGTACCCTGGCTGGCGGTGGTATTTAGTTAAGCACTTAAACTGTTTAATAGTTTCGTATATGATGGAAGTGTCTTATTCCGGAAAATGAATGACCACGCTGCTTTAGCCCGAAAGTGCATTCCTCCGTGCCACGTGACACCCGGCTGGAAACAATCGGAAGGTACGCGTGGGCTCGTGGGTGTTCTCTAATCACCGTGCCCTTTCTATCCCCTTCCCTTTCACGATTAGTGCTAAGGAAAATCTCAGGCTTTTTCGTGCTCAATGTAAAAATCTGTGAATATTGGCAGGGGTTCAAAAAGCGACATTATGAGAGTCTGTCTTAGCGCTTATCCGGATTGTCTCGGTCACATCGCTGGCGATTAGCTTGAGATTAATCTTAGGATATCGTTTGCACTGTACAGTGCCAGTACACTTTCTTGACATAACAGTACTCTTAAATCAGTCTTCTGGAAGGACTCTCTCTCTCTCTCTGAGAATCCTCTCGACCTTGAGTAAGAGAACGAGCCTAGCTTTCTTCCCGATCAAGGTCAGCTACCACGATTGCGGGCAATGCTGTGTAAGTGACCCTGCAGCTCTTCTTATTATTTCATCACTCGTTCATAGAGTTATTGATTTCATGAAAATTGTAATTTTTTTTCTCCTGGAGGGGGATTTATCCGGGTATATGTAATCTCTCATCAAATACTCGCTTTTATCCTGTACTTGGCATACACTACAAAAATCTGGAACATTTTTTTGTAGTGTACGCCAACTACCTGGAATGTAGTTGGCGTTCACTACAAAAAGATTTGGTCAAAGATAGTTATTTTGTTCGAAGGCAGTTAACAAAATAATAACTCCCATTATATTTTATATTAGTTTTTGTCTGTAGAAACACAGCTTTTAAGCCCAAATGGAAAAAAAATCAAGGGAAACGTTATGAAATGCAGATTCGCTTTGTTGCTAGTTTTTTTTTGGCTCTGTTAAACTATTACTACCCCAATCTTCCGAACAAAGTCCAGTTTTTGATCGTGTTTTTTTTTCTGAGGGGCAGATTTGACTTAAAGCTAGCTCCTAGGGGTAGTTTTTTCCTGAACCCGAATCCGCTCAACTGTAACTGCCTTGACCTGCGCAACAGGCGCCGGCGCCAAGACGCCGTAAACCACTAAATCAGCTGAAAACTTGTCCGCAGGGTGGTTTGACCACCTGAACATAAATATCACATCCGCCAGGTCCGAGTGTCTGGCGCCGGCGCCAAGATACCCTGAATCACCAAATGCGCTGAAAATTCGTCCGCAGGGGTGGTTTGACCTCCTCAACATAAATATCACATCCGCCCGGTTCGAGTATCTGGCGCGCGCGCCACAGGCGCCGGCGCAAAGATTCCCTGAATCACCAACTCCCCTGAATACTTGTACACGGAGGATATTTGACACTTATTACGAATATGACGTTCATTCTTGGCGCTGGCACTAATAGAGGACACTGCAATCATCTTAGCTTTGCTAAGGCTGAGCCTGGCCTGAAGGGAACCACTCCTTCCCCGCTCTGCGGATTTTATTACGCCATTTCTCTCGGTGCCTGACAGTGTGGGCACAAACTATCCTCAAATCCGCTTCGCAGCGTGTCGAGCCAGGGTTGCTGGGGCAATGCCATTTCTGTGGTCAGGTCATTAAAAAAACCCTATCATGCAAGTTTTTATCGATTTTGGTGAGAAAGGATGCGGCATCTAATTGCGCCAAATGAAGCCAGAGCTAAGAATGAATGTCATGATCGTGATCAGGGTACCCAATAACTCCAGTATGCAAGTTTACATCTTTGGATGAGAAAAGTGGTATCTCTAAATTGTCGCCTAGGGGAGCCAAATGGCGCCAGCGTCAAAACAAGGATTTCGTACTCGTGATCAGATCATCGAATTACCCGTGGGGGCAAAGTTTCGCAAAACTTTTTTTGTTCTTCGGGTAGTAATAGTTGAATAGTGCCTTTTTTTTGTTCTGTGGGCGTGAATGGTCAGGAAGTCGTATCATGGGACCTCAGATTGAAGGTCAATATTTGAAAGTACTCTGGAGGGATTATTAGGCGCAGTTCGGTGACGGGGGGGGGGGATTTTGCACTTTTGCTGCTTCACTAGTTCCGTTTACAAGTCTCACTCTGGTGAAACCTGTGAACTGTTGTGAAGCTGGTAGAAGCTCATCCAGCCACCATCTTACCGTTGTACTGATTTGGTCAATTATCTGGTACCCCCCGTCCTGGAGATACGGTATAAGACCTAGGGCTTCACTCTGTGTCAGCAGGTGTTTTTTTTTACTTTTTAAGAGAAAAAAATCTGTCTATTTGCAGCGGTTACGGGGCTGTTGTCAACCAGACGTGCTCTCGCTGCGAGGGTCCAGGGTATTTTCACGAGGCATCTACCAGTCCAGTAGTTGGAGGGAGAAGGTAAAGGAGGAGGGATCAGAGAAGGAAGGAAGGAAAAGAAGGAAGGAGGAAGAAAAAATGAAAGAGAGGAGAGGCTTCCCGGTTGACAAGTGCCCTGAGACGATTTGCAGCCCCCTGTTGCATGGCTGCTTTTATTCCCTTATGAGAAAGCTGACCATGTGACGCAGACGAAGCGAATAGCCGGCTGGATGGCAAGCGTCCACCGCAATTACCGTGCTTGGTGGGCTGCGCAAGGGTGATGGTTGGGGTTGGGTGTTCCATCTGTCGAGGTCGCCACCCTGGCCGCCATCGCTCGGGGAAAATGCTGCGGCCGAGGACGCGGCAGTAGTCGATCGATAATGGTTGTTCATTGGCACCTGCTCAACTGTCTCGTCCATCTTGGTTTTGCACTCGTTGTCCACAAGTTCTTTTCAAGTGTTGCGCTGAACTTGCTGGTCGGCGTTCAACAGGGTTATTTTTAACCTTACGAAGTGATGAACCCCCTGATGTTGTGGGAAGCTGTTGTAATAATAGCGAACCTTTTCAAGGACAAATCCTTTGCGTGCCTTACAATATGGTTATGAATTCCGAGTCCGACTTTTTCTAAGCTTCATGGGACGTTTCTATCTGTGTTTTCATGGGTGGCTCTGCTGGGAATATTGATTGTAGTAATACGTGCCTCTTCCCCATGTGCCCATGACAACATTTACTGCTTTGTTGAAGTATTGTCGTTTCAGCTTTGGTGACGTCGCCTTCTAATTTTTTCGCACAACTTCATTTTCCGGTTTCTCTCTCGTTTTCGTAAACTTGATTGTTTCAAGACTATGTGGAAAAGGGGGGCTAGTACATTCCAGTACTGATAAAGTCAGCCATTGAAGATTCCTTTTTCTACGTGTTTTGATCTCTGAAAATTAGTCAAAAAATCCTTTTATTTAAGTAGCTTTTGATGTTTCCGTACACGAGAGCTTATGAGGAGTAAGTGGCCACGCCTCTTTCCCATTAGAAAACTGGCTAGGAGATGATGCCCCTTGCTGATATACTTTACAATACATTGAAGCTCATTTTTTTTAAAAATTGGGCTCTGATACGTATGGTTCTATTGTTTGGATCTGTTCAAATCGACGGAGGACAGGCGTTTTTTTGAACCGCGCCGTGCCATTTGTCACTTGCATTTAGCGGCAGTCACCAGCAGCCTTTGTTAGGCGAGTGGTGGTGTGAACGTGTCTTTTGCAGCGTTTTTGTGTGTACTCCTTTTTTATTGTAATTATTATTATTATCTTCATAATCGTTTGAGATGTGAAATAGTAATCAATTAATTGATCCTTTTTGATGCGCCACTTACTTACCTTCCAC